ACACATAGACTATTATGGAGATTGATTTTGGAATTCAGATGCACTCTTATTGATTGTGCTTGGCTGTACATGTACATATCCTTCAAGATGTATCCACTTCTTGTTAATTAAGGAGACCTCCGAAGTCCTGTGGGATTAGTCCTGTCCTTCCCTGCTCAGATATCTAACGTCTGAAGTTTTTTATGCCCTGAAGGTCAATAAGGAGTGAAGTCCCATCCTTCCGAAAGCGGGAGCTGGACGACACCGGAGATGATGGCCCTTGATGACAATAAGAAACCGGCTTCTAGACTCCAGTTGCCTAGACTTTCCAAAAGCTTATCTGCCCAGGCCCAAGGCTCCCTGAAGACTGAGTCGGTCCCTACGGAGAGTGTGAAAAGGGAGGGACAGGAATTGAACATTTTGTCCTCATACATTTGGTCTGATGACGAGTACTCCCTGGAGAACATAGACAAAGAGGAATTGAAGAATGAAACTCCGCCTGAACGACCATCGTGGGCTAATAAGATTGAGTACTTCCTGGCCCTCGTGGGCTTCTCCGTGGGGCTGAACACCCTCTGGAGATTTCCTTTCCTGTGTTACCACAATGGAGGTGGTAAGCCAGGGTGGGGAGGTGGGGGAATGGGGGGAAGTGGGAGAGGGAAACCAGGACTCATGGGTCCACAAGGGGTTCAGGAGTCAGAAACCTGCACCGGCCACTCCAGGACATTCAAATATATAGAGGTGGTGGCTTTGGGGATGCTGGTAGGGTTAGGAACTATTACTACAGGGGAGCTCTGGTGGCCTAGTGGCAAGAAGCTGCACTGCAATCCCAGAAGTGCGCGGTTCAAATCCAGCAGAGCACCTGGAGGAGCAGAGAAGGAAGAACAATCTCCTCCTGTACCAGTCAGATCCGATTTGACGGTACACACACACACAAATAATAAAAAAGACATTTTAAAAAGAGAGAGAGGAATATACTACAAGTCACCACAGGAAGCTAACAGGTTGTCAGGTGGGTGAACTCTCCAGGATAAATAGAAAACAAATGTTGTTGTTGTTGTTGTTGTTGTTGTTGATTGCCTTTGAGTCGAGTATGATTCATAGCGACCTCAAGAAGAAACCCATCTGCAACCATTGACATTTTTTAATTTTTTTGTGTGTGTATGTGGAGGGCTTAAAGACTGGACACCTGGGCCTCTGGGCGGTGGTAAAGCAGAGGAGGTCGGGTGGAGGCTTGTAGCTCTGAGAAGGGTCATTGACGGGGTGTCATTGGTGGGGAGAAGCTTTTCCTGAACCTCTGAAGAAGTCCAGGTCCCGAAAGGGGAGGTGATTTGGCAGAGCCCTTCCTCCCTGCGTTGCCTCACGCAGGTATGTTTATCATCATCTACACCATTCTGATGTTCTTGATTGGGATTCCTCTCCTCTTCCTGGAGATGGCGACTGGCCAGAGGCTTCGCCAGGGCAGCATCGGCGTCTGGAAGGTCATCAGTCCCTGGATTGGTGGCGTGGGGTACGCCAGCTGCACGGTGAGGAAGCCTGGGCGGCTCTGGGCGACTCTATCTCCAGCCCGTATCCTGACCTTTTTAACTTGGCACGAGTCCTGTCATTTCACTGGTCCGGGTCCCTCCAAGTTCCCCGAGCCTTAGCCAGCCTGCCCTCCCTTCCGCCTCACTTTTCTTCTCCTGCCTGTCTGTCCTGTAGGTCTGCGGCGTCATGGGTTTATACTACAGTGTGATTGTGTCCTGGACTTTGTTCTATTTGATTCAGTCTTTGCAATCCCCGTTGCCTTGGGTGGTGTGCCCTTTTCTGGAGAAATCCAATGCTACAGGTGAGGAAAGAAAGAAAGAGTCAAAAAGAAAAAGAAAGAAAAGGTCAAGTGGGAGGGTCACGCATGGGACTGGGGTGCAAGCAAAGGGGTCCTTGTGATAAGAGGGATGGGAAGAAGACGATGAAATGGGATTGAAAGAGCGTAAAGGGGGGTTGTGTGAAGAGGGGAGAGGCATTTTTGGTCTTGCAGTCTTCTCCACGGCCAGTTCCCCCCAGATCCTGAATGTGAACGGACCACACCCACCACGTACTTCTGGTACCGAAAAGTCTTGGGGGCCGCAGAGGAAATCAAGACGAGTGAACTCCCCCTGCTTCATCTTGCTGTGTCTCTCTCTGTGGTCTGGTTTGTTATATGCGTCTCCATGATCAAAGGGCTTAAATCGACTGGGAAAGTGAGCTATCCTTTGAGTTACTAAATCGAGCAAATTCCCTTCCACCCCAGGTTCTCTAATCGCTCCCCTAACTCTAACATCTCTTGCTCTCCAACTTCTCACTCCGAATGTGACCTCTGCCTCCTAACAGCCTTCGATCTGACTGTTCCCCCACTTTGTTTTGTTTGGTTTTTGCTGAGCTCTGTCTCTGAACCATGTTTCCTTATTCAGATGGTGTATATCACAGTGGTCCCTCCCGGCTTCATCCTGGCCTGTGTTCTCTTCCGGACTCTCCTTCTCGAAGGAGCATTTTCTGGTCTCAAGTATTTGTTGACGGCAAAGGTGAGATGTTGTCACGCCTTCTTTTAAACCCTGGGATTCGGGCTCCCTCATCTTCCTTTATCTCTCTCTCCTGGACACGGCCCTTCTCTTCCTCAGATGTCGTCTTTGTTCTCTCTGGAGGTGTGGAGACAGACGGGGAGCCAGCTTTTCTACGCCTTGGGCTTAGGCTTCGGGAGCTTCACCGCCATCAGCTCCTACATCCCTCGTTCTAACAACTGTGTCCATGACGCCTTTGCTGTGGGACTTCTCAACCTGGCCACCTCAGTCACCATCACGCTGGCCATCTTTGGGGGAATCGGCCACTTGGTCACCACAGAAACCACCAAATGTTACAGGAAGTGAGTCCGATCTTCC